TAGATTCACCCCTGTAGATCCATCCCTATAGATTCACCCCTGTAGATCCATCCCTATAGATTCACCCCTGTAGATCCATCACTGTAGATTCACCCCTGTAGATCCACCCCTGCAGATCCTCCCCTGTAGATCTATCACTGTAGATTCACCCCAGTAGATCCGCACCTGTAGATCCACACCTGTAGATGTACTGTACCCCTGTAGATCTACCCCTGTAAATCCATCCTTTTATATCCACCCTTGTAGTCCCACCCCTGTAGATCCATCCCTATAGATCCACCCCATGTTCTAGTTGAATGAAACTGAAAAGAATTTATTTCACTTAATTACTACTCAAGTAACTATTCACTTAACTTTTTCTGCATGGTGAATCATTTTCTAATCATAATATTGGACAAAAACAGAATTTAATGGTGTATGGTTAAAAAGAGCACAGCCATGAATCAAGTGTTGATGAATAATTTTAGCCTCTGAGTAAAAAGAAAACTGTGAGGCTTTGGAAAGACAACATGTACAGATGAACCCAGTGACCGAGGAAAATATGACACTCTTTTTTCCTTCATAGAAACCGTTATGGGAAAGACAAACAGGCTACTGTATGTTTTCGGATGTGTTAAATTTCAGTGTAATTTCAATTCAAAGACATCCGTTGATTTGTGAAGTGGTAATTAACCTGTTAACTGTCCAGATTTACAGCCTCATGCTGTCCACCATCATCCATCCATCTTCTAACACACTTAATCCTAAATGGGGTCGCGAGTGCTGCTACCTGCATACCCTGGACAGGTCGCCAGTCCATCACAGGCTGTCCACCATCATGGCGGCTTTATATGGCAGGCAAGAGCCCTAAGGGTTATAGAACACAAGCTGATTTAATTCATGCTATTTCAGGTGTTTTGGAGGATTTTAAGGTGACGAGTTAACATCTCAAACATGTCTTTTATTTACTCATATGCTAGGCTAATGTTAGCATGTTATCCTATGTTTTAATACGTATGTAGGATTGTATTTCAATGAAAGTTTAGTAAGTTGGCTAAAACCATCCATCCATTTCTTACACGCTTAAAGGAATAGTACACCCAAAACATGATTAGCCTTCATTTTCTACTCACCCCCATGCTGAACAACACTCTGGAGTACTTTTTT